ATCCTTCCAGCAAGCCTGCTACTGGCACCTGGGGGTTTTTGGTTGTACTGGACCAACTGTTAATACCTGCAGCCAGGGTGTTATTTTCAAACATCTCTGGAAACCACCAACCTCCCAAGTGAGCAGAATCACTGGAAAAGGAAAGAGACAAAAAGCATAGCAATTCCCATTTGCAAGCAAAAGCTCTAAGCTGTGTGTCTACAATACACAAGGGGCCTGGTTCTCAGCATCTATATCATTCATGGTACTCTCATACAAAGACCTTGCAAAAAAGCAAGTGTTCCTCTGAGGGTTTGTTGTGTTTTCCAAGACACCCTCATTTCATGCTGCTGCTCCTGTTGACACCACGGGGTGACCTCAGAAATATAAAGGAAAGAAACCCTGTCCTCAATGGCCCTCCTCTCTGCTGGCCTGCTGAATCCGTATGCGGCTCTGTGACAGCTTTAAAGATGGCATGGCTGGTATTTACCTGCTCCACTGGCTTCCTCTTTCTTAGAGACAGAAGCACAGGGAGTTATTTCTAAAGCCCTGGTTCCCTGGTGTGCCTAGAGAATAGACCCACTACAGGAAGTATTTGTAAATTCTAAGCTCAAATTGGCAGTAACTTCTCAAGTGCGTTTTCTTGGGGGAGATTATGGTATTTCACTAGCAATGTGAAAGAGAATGCACAAAACACTAAGAGGTATTTTGGAGTATCTGGAAATGAAGAATATCAAGGGCAACTTCCTTTTATTCAGGGTTGTCACTGCACTGCAGCAGCCTCCTGTAAACTCACTCCCTGGAAGATGAGCCAGATCTGAAGACTGCACAGAAAATTCACAGGTGTGAGTCAAGGCAGAACCAGAACTGGTTAATGCCAATTTAGGATTATTTTAGAGCCCGACAAGTGATCCTCAGATTGTGCTGAAAAATAATGTCCAAACAGTGTAATGCAGAGAGGGCCAGATTTTCTACTTCCTATTAATGAGCAGTAAAATACTTTCTAATATTTTAGGTTTTGCAAGCAAAAGGAAAGAAAAACTAGGTCTTTACAGATAAAAGAAAATAGGAATATTGTAAATCACTACAGATAAAAGAAGAATAGCACATTCGAAGTCTCAGACACCTTAAGGAACTCCGAACACTCAAGGAGTTGTGAGTTTTTAATATGGTGAGCTACAGAGATTTCAGAAGACAGAAAGGAGTAAAATCTGAGAACAGTTAGCTGGAAGCTAATAGTTTCCTCGAGCATAACAGAAAAACTTAAAATCCCGTCCTCCTCCATCTCCTCCATAGACAACACAATCTATGTTCCTCGTGTAAGAAATTATTTTCTCATTTATTAGCAAGTTTCCAAGCATCAAGAATGGTACCAGGAATACAGTAGAGATTGAATAAAATGTTTTAAATGAATAATGTTTTCCGCCATCACTTTAATGTATCAGCTAAAAAATGGAGTAGGTGATTAATAAAAAAATAACTATTACTGTTACAATTAGTATTCAAGTCTGGGAGCTAAAATATGAATCCTCAGCAAAAAAAAAAAAAAGTCAAGTGTACTAGGTACCCAGTTTGTATGACTTGAGTTTTTTTTTTAATTAAATACAATAGCATGCAATAAAATGAACAAACCTTGGGGCATAGCTGCATGCATTTTGAAAAATGTTCGACAAGGAAAATAATGACCATCACTCTAGAAAACTCTCTGGTGTCCTTTCCTGTCCACTGCCTTCCCCCACAGAAGCAGCCAATTCTGATATCTGACGGAATGGACAAGTTTCGCCTCTTCTTGAGCCTCATATAAATGGAATCAGACAATATAATCTTTTGTGTCTGTCTTATTTTGTTCAACATAATGGGATTTGAAATCCATCCATGTTGTCAGGCTTATGAATAGTTCACTGCTTCTTATTACTGAGTGACTTCCATTTGATGAATATACCCTAAATGATTTATTCATCATCTAGTGAATGGATACTTGAGCTGTTGCTGATTTCTTGTACAAATATAACATTTTGAATTTATATTTACATTTCTTTGGTATAAATAACCAAGTATGGAATTGCTTGATCATAAGATGTGTGCATGTTTTACTTTATTTAAAAAAAAACCTACAGAACAGTTTTCTGTGATAGTTATAACTCTGCATTCCCACAGCAATATCCTGTGGAAGAGTCAGCTCCACAGTCTCACTGTGGTTTGATGTCATAATTATTATTTATAGGCACTCTGTGAGTATGAAATAGCATCCTATTGCATCTGTAGTTTGCATGTTACTGATGACCAATGATGTTAAGCATATTTTCATGAATTTTTGCCAAGTCAAGTATCTTTTATAAAGTATCTAACTAAGTTTCCCACTTCCGTTGTGCTATTTCTGTTTTTGTTATTGATTTTAGGAGTTTTTATGTATTCTAGATATGAATATTTTACAACATGTATGTATTAGCTACTTCTTTCAATTTGTATCTTGCTTTTAAAATTGTGCATGGATAAAAGTTTTTAGTTTTGATAGAGTACAGTTTATTATCTTTACTGTATGTTTGATACCTTTTGCATTCTCTTTAAGAATCCTGTGACCTTTTCAGATAACAAAATACTTTCCTATGCTATCTTTTAGAAACTTGATAATTTTCATTTTTACATTTAAGACTATGATTTATTTCAACTAATTATGTATGGATAGCTTGAGGTTTATTGGTAATTATTTGCTCACTAAGTAATTATTTGTGTATACTTTAAGGATTATTAGTTTTGAATGTGAATATTTAATGGACTTCATACTATTTATTTAAAAGGCTTTTCTCTAGCCTGTTCTCATAATAATTCCTCAAAAATTATTCAAATGCATTTGTGGAACTATTTTTACTATTTCATCATTAAATAAAACATTAGCTAGGCTATAGGCTATCCACAGACAACTCTTATCAGATTGAGGAATCTGCCTTCTCCATTTTGAAGCACATTTATTAAATGTGCTTTTTGTATCATTTGAGGTAACCATAGAATTGTCTCCTTTTTCCTGTTAATATGGTAAATTACATTGATTTATTTTTAATGCTAAACCAGTATTGCACTCTTAAAATAAGAGCCACTGGGCAATGATGTATTATCCTTTCTAAAATACATTGTTGGATTCTGATTAGAAACATAATGAAAAATTTTGTAAGTATTGGTGTTACTTCTTTTTTACACATTTGATAGAATTCACAGTAAAGTCATCTGGACCTGCAGTTTTGTTTTTTTTTTCTTTTTGTAAATGGGGTTTTTGTTATATGTTTAATTTTGTAGAAAACATGGAGTTGTTCTGGTGGTCAGTTTCTCATATCAGTTTTTTTTTCTTTAAGGTATTTGTATATTTTGCCAACATTGTCAAATTTGCTGACATAAATTTTTCCAACTACTTTTATCCCATAGGACCTATAATTTCTTGTTTTTAATATTAATTATTTTGTTTCCTCTTTTCATTATTGCTTAATATTATAAATTATATTAATCTTTTCAAAGAACTGGCTTTTCACCATTTTTTTCTATAGCTTGCGTTCAGTTTTGGCAGTTTTTTCTCATATTTACTACTCTCTTTCTTTTCATTAAGGTTTATGTTCTTTCTCTAACTGCTTAATTTAGAAGCTTAAATTATTGACTTTATATATTCTTTTTTTACTATAAGCATTTAAAGTTATGCATTTCCTCTTAGCACATCTTGAACTTTATTCTACAAATTTTGCTCTGATATGATTTGTTTTCATCATCATTCCACCTGTAATATTTTCCAACATCTTTCTTGTTTCGATTTTGCCCTTCAGGCTATTTAGAAATGTGTAGTAGTTTCCAAATATTTGAAGATATTCTATATTTTTTGTTAGTGGCTTTTATTTCAAGGTTGTTAGAGTCGAAGAGTACATTATGCATAATTCCAATCCTTCTAAATATATTAAGACTTGTTTTATGTCCCAAATCATAGTCTACTTTGAGAGTTTTCCAGGTATTCTTGAAAGAATATGTAATTATAAGTGTTGGATGTAGTATGACATTTTCTTATGCCTCTTATTTACTCTTGCCCTCTAGATATCTGACATTGTCTCCCCAAAGTCAATAAATCTATTTGTATCTTATTTTCTCCTGATTTCAGTTAGTTATATTATGTGCCCCACACCACATCCTACATTTTTCTCTCATCTGGGATCTCTCACATCTCCATTTGATGTGAAAAATAAAGGTAAATCTCAGGATGCTAGAGCAGTTTAGAAGTCAGGCACTGCTTGTCAAAGAAGACAAGATAATATAAGCTTCCTTCTTATTTTTTATTTGTTTGTTTTGCTCTTTCATAGTTTATGTTATAGTGTGGCTAATAATCTGAGAGTTGATTTATAGAAGGATACAAAATATACCCAGGACAGATGTTCTCATTGCATGCATATGACCTTTTGCAAATTTCCTGCACATCTCTTCTCTAACTCAAGACCTGGGACAATTTGTTTTTCTCTACATATTGTGAAAATTCTTCACATTTTTTCAAAGTTAGTATGTGTGCTCTTGTAAATATAATTTATAACCTCTACCTCCAATATATGATTCATAGAATGATGTATTTAATTTTTGAAAATTAGTTTACCTAAAATAAAAGACTAATTTAAATGAAAATACAGGACATTTGACCAGTAAGTTAAATGATGAAAATGGTACATACTTAGGAGGTTTAGACAAATTGTTACATAGCCAACATTTTCTACTGTAATGGAGCAAACCAAAGTTGACTGTCCTTAAAGTATTCTAAATCCTCCCAGGATTCCTACCGGCATTTAAGGACTGATGTACCATACCAAACATTATTACAAGTTCACCTAGGTGAAGAATCCCAATTGCACTTTACAATAGTCAGTAACCCTGCTCTAAGAAAAACCTGCCTTTGGTTTTAGGATGGAGCCTGGAGTGGCTCTGCAGTAAATGCAAAATAGTAGTTTCGTCCTTTATGCCCATGCTTTCTTCATTTCCAAATTCAATGCAGAAAGGATACTCACCTTTTCCCATTCTCGGTCTTTGTTAAGCACAATCACCACCAGCCTGGGGTGTACTTGATAGCCTTCCTCAGTAAAGGATAAGTCTTTGCCATCCCAGGTCACATTGACCATAAATCTAGACAAAGGAAGAGAGAAAGACAAATTTTGAGAGAAGAATTAAAGAGGTGCCAAGCAAATGAGTATATGCTAGAATCATCAGCATCACCCTGATTGCAAGCATCCAGAGCCATTCCTGTCACACACAACCCCCATTCATGGACGCATCTGTACCCAGGCAGGTGCTGCACACTGATCAGGTGCTCTACTCCATGTGCCTGGACTCCTTCTCAAAATCTCCAGTCCTGTGTAGATGTTAAAGATTTAGCACATGACATAGAACATTTCCTTCCTGCTGCATTCACAGATATGGGTTCAAATGATCTGATAGATAAGTTTATTGTGTCCTCCTTTAATAAGCTTCCCTGAAGAAACTTATTTGCTCATAAGCTACATGGTGTTCAGCTTTGAAGAAGTACTACCCCATCTGCTTTTAACTCATTCAACTGGCACGTTTTTAGAGCATTCACTACATTTCAGAGCTCAGGTGGTTGGGAAACAGACATGATCCTCTGCCCTTCTGAAGTTTATTGTCTAAGAGAGAAGGGCATGTTAGTTGATTAGTCCCGGACCTATGATAAACGTCACATAGGAAAGAAAGATGTACTATGTGAAAGTAAAGCAGGGGTTAGACAAGGTTCAGGAAACACAATCTGACCTGAAGGATGAGACAGCATCAAAACTGGGTAAGAACAGATGCAAAAATCCTCAATACAATATTGGCAAACAGGATACCGTAAATCATCAAGAAGATTATACACCACGACCAAGTGGGATTCATTCCAGGCATGCAGGGATGGTTCAACATACATAAATCAAAAATGTAATCCACCATATCAGTACAGCCAAAAATAAGACCCACATGATCATTTCTATAGGTACAGAAAAAGTTTTGATAATGTCCAACACTTATTCTAGGTAAGAACCTCACGAAAAATTGGAATAGATGGTCTTTACTTCAATATGATAAAAGTCATCTATGACAAACCAACAGCCAGAATCACATTAAGTGGCCAAAAACTGAAAGCCTTTACCCTAAAATCAGGAATAAGACAAGGATGACCATTATCACCACTCCTATTCAATATAGTGCTGAAAATACTAGTCAGAACAATTAGACAAGAGAGAGAAATAAAAGGAATAAGGATAGGAAAAGAAGTTAAATTATCATTATTTGATATGACATGATACTATACATAGAAGACCCCCAAAATTCCATTGAAAGTCTCCTAGATATAACAAATAAATTCAGGATGTAGCTGGATACAAAAATCAATACCATTTCTATTAACTAATAACAAAATCACTGAGAGAGAAATAAGAGAAGCCACACTCTTCACATTAGCATCCAAAAAAATGAAATACTTAGGAATTAATCTCATGAAAGAAGTAAAAGATCTATACATGGAAAATTATAATACCCTGAAAAAAGAAATTGAAGAGGATCTCAGAAAATGGAAAGACATCCCTTGTTCATGGATAGGAAGAATAAATATTGTGAACATGGCCATTCTCCCAAAATTGTAATACAGATTCAATGCAATCCCAATGAAAATACCATCAACATACTTCATAGATTTAGAGAAATCACTCCTAAAATTCATCTGGAACCAGAAGAGACCAAGAATAGCAAAGGCAATTCTAAGCAGCAAAGGCAAGGCAGGAGGTATCCCGATCCCTGATTTGAAGTTATACTACAAAGCAACAGTAGTAAAATCAACATGGTACTTGTGGTGTCGCCTAAGGAGCCTGGCCCCCTCATAGTCTGTGATAACATCAGCCCCGGCATGAGAACAGAGACTGGGTAGGAAAGCGGACCCAAGAGAAGAAAATGTTCTTCCCTCTTGTCTCATGATGCGTGACTAGGCTGTGTTTACGGAGCTAGAAGGAAATGGCAGACCTTCAGGTGGCTAGAAAGAACGAACATAATTAAAAACATTCTTGGGTTAATGGTGTTCCTCCTGGGTTATTGGGGCAAGAAGAACTGGTTATGCTTGCTTGCTTAACTTAAATAGTTTAGATACCATTGTAGTTTGTCACAAAGCTTGTCACAAAATGTGCTATTTCAAGATAATCGTCTGTGCACTGTGAGTTGATCCTGTTCACTATATAAGAACCTAAAAATAAAGTACAGCATGCAGTAGCAATTGCTGTTTTCTCTGCTCTGCATCCCCCGTGTCCTGATTTCATGTGTGCCTCTTCCCGGGGTCCCGAGTGCACTAGACACTCGCGACAGGTACTGAAATACAAACATCTAAAGATAAATGAAATAGATTAGAAGATACAACCACAACTACAAACACACTCAACCACCTTATCTTTGATAAAGGGACCAAACATGTTCACTGGAAGAACAACAGTCTCTTTAATAAATGATGAGGAAAAACTGGCTCTCCATATGCCAAAAACTAAAACTAGACCCATGCCTATCACCATGTACTAAACTAAAATCTAAATGGATCAAAGATCTGAATATTAAAACAGAAACACTAAATCTGTTGGAAGACAAATTAGGTAAAAATCTTGAAGACATAGGGGTAGGTAGAGAATTCATAAACAGGAATCAAACCACATGGGAAATACTTCCCAGAATCAATAACTGGGATCACGTCTTATTAAAAAGTTTCTGCATGTCAAAAGAAATCTCCAGCACAGTGAAAAGAAAACCTAAAAACTGGCAAACAAAATCTTAGTGAACTGCCCCTCAGACAAAGGACTTCTGTCTAAAACATATGAAAAATTTAAAAAATCAGACCCTTGAAATTCAAAGACCCAATCCAAAAACGGGCATCTGAGATGAATACACAGTTCTCAGATGAAGAAATGCAAATGGCAAATAAATACATGAGAAAATGTTCAGCATCATGGGTCATTAGAGAAATGAAAATTAAAACAACACTGAGATTCCATCTCACTCCATAAAGAATGGCCAGGATCAATAAAACTACAAAACAACAAATGCTGGAGAGACTATGGGGGAAAAGGAACTCTCCTGCACTGTTGGTGGGAGTATAGACCGGGGCAACCACTGTGGAGATCAGTCTGGAGGTTCCTCAAAAAGCTGGGATTGGAAGTCCCATTTGACCCAGCTATTCCACTTGTAGGCATATTCCCAGAACTGAAATCATCATACCACAGTGATATTTGTGCACCCATGTTTACAGCAGCACAATTTGTAATAGCCAGATCTTGGAAACAATTTAAGTGTCCATGAACTGAGGAATGGATAAAAAATTTGTGGTATTTTTATACAATGGAGTACTACTCAGCTATAAAGAATGATCAAATTGAGATATTTATAAATAAATGGACCCAACTTGAGACCATACTCATAAGTGAAATAAATCAAACTCATAAATACTGTATAGTCTCCCTAGAGTAAGAAATGGTAAGAGTACATAAGAGTTCGTGGTAATTGTGATTCCCCATTACATTGCTTTGAAACCTTATAATGTTTGCATTTGTTAGTTGGAATGGTTTTATCCTGATTTGTTTGACTTTATTATCTGTGATAGTATGAACAGCTATTTTGAAGAAAACAAGGCATTACAATAGTCAGTGCTGATTTAATATCATCTTACTCTGAAGTCCTACCATGCTTTTGCTCTTCTGTTTCCATTGGTTCTATCATGTTGTATCTTATTGGATTTTAATGTGTGTGATAATATAAACAAATTTTCTATGGAAAATGAGATAATATAGTAGCCATTGTTCATTCTCTGTTATTTGGTTCTGAATGCCTTGTAATACTTTCATTCTCTTGAATGGTTTTACACTGTCTTTCTATGTTTGATACTATAGTATATGAAGTTATGCTCAAATATTTCAAAGAAAGAGGCATTATGGTAATTACTGTTAATTACTGGTTGTTTTGTGGTGAAATACTGTGTTGCTGATATTGTACTGTTCTGATCTGCTTTGTTATGTCCTCTTTTGTCTTGATCTCTTTAAAATAAAAAAAAATTTTAAAAACTAGTGAACCTACTGGTGTGTGGCCTGGAGTCAAACATCCCACTTCCCCTACCCCCTCACCCCTGTCCCTCCGTTAGCAAATGGGAACCAGAAATCTGAGCATCTCCTGGGAGGTTGACCATAGCAAATAAGGGGGATTTCCTTCTACCATTTCTTTGAAGTGAATATTTTTCTTACTATTTTGCTTTTTTCTGAATAATGGTACTGCTCTATTCAATATTCTGTCTTGATAAGTTCTATAATATTCTGTATTTCATTTTATTTTGATATATATGATTAAAAGAACAACTATGGTAAAGATAATGAAATATACTATGATATCTATTACTGTTATCCCAGTAACCTGCTGTGAAGTTCTGTACCAGTTTCACTACATGGTCTCAGTTGGCTTTATTCTGTCTTGTTCTTTTGTATTTTACTACTTTCAAAATAAAAAAAATTAAAAAATGAACAACTACTTTGAAGCAAAAGAGACACTATAGTATCCAGTGCTGATTCCACAGCATCATGATGTGAAATCCAGCAATCCACTATTATTCTTTGTTCAGAGTGATTTTGGTCTGTTTTGTTTTGCTTAATCTTAACATACATGAAGGTATGGACAGCTATTTTGAAGAGAATGAGAGACACAATGAGAGCCATTGTTGACTTCCCTGTTGTCTGATCTTTAAGGCCTAAAATATCTTCTTCATCTTGTTCAGATCAGTTCTATACTATGTTGCTTCGTGTGAATTCTCTGTATGTGAAGATATGGACAACTATTAGGAAGAAAAAAGACAATATAAATAGTAAATAACTCTGATTGTCTTGCTTTGAAATTTGTGTCTCTTACATTGCTTTCTTATGTTTGTTTTGTTCTGTTCTGTGATGTTCAATTTTACCCTCTTTAAAATAAAAAAAATTTTAAAAACTAAGTAAGAAAATATATAAGCAAGCAAAAGAGACAATATGTGCAAAGGCACCATGGTAGCATATATAAGGAACTGGGTGCAGAACAATGAAGCTAAGGCAGAGAATGACAGGGGAATATGGTATCTGGGGAGACTG